ACAGACAGACAGACAGACACAGACAGACAGACAGACAGACACAGACAGACAGACTGACTAACAGAGACAGAGACAGAGACAGAGACAGAGAGAGACAGAGACAGAGACAGAGACAGAGACAGAGACAGAGACAGAGACAGAGACACAGACAGAGACACAGACAGAGACAGAGTGTGGCATACTGCGCAGCCACACGGGCCTGCAAGGCCCAACCAGACAGAAATTCAGGGCCCTACAGGCCCTGTGTCGTTTCAGCCTAAAATCCTGAAAACAAGGGCCTATAGGCCCTGTGTCGTTTCAGCCTAAAAGCCTGAAAACGAGGGCCTACAGGTCCTGTGTCGTTTCAGCCTAAAAGCCTGAAAACGAGGGCCATTTTCAGGCCCTTATAAAGTCGACCTGCCCTGAAACTTAGGCACCAGACCAGGGTTTTAGCACAGGCCATTTTTGGCCTGTTTTCAAGACAACCTTTGTTTGAACTTTTGGCAAGAGCAGCCTCCTGGACGGGCCAGCACTATATAGACTGGCCCGCCCTACAGGCTGCAGGCAGTGGACGAGGTAGTTCATAGGGACTTCCCAGGCACTTCACGTGCAGGAGGCAGAAGGTAGTCTTCAGGATTCGGCAGCAGCACTCTGGAGGAGCACTGCAGTAGTAGTAGTAGCGTTAGCAGTAGTCTTCAGCGCCGGGCGCTATTAGGAGCTAGAGTAGCGTTGGAGAGAGAGAGAGAGATGGTTGGCGGAGGCCAGGGAGACTTACCTGTGGCGCCAAAGTTCCAGCTTCGTCTTCGATGTACCTGCAACAAGGCGCCACCTTCACAGGTTAGTACCGGACTGGGAGAGAGAGAGAGAGAGAGTTCTTCTTCTTCCTCTTCTAAGTCCACCATCTCTCCCTCACCCTCTCGCTACCTAACTTCTCAGTATCTGCAGACTACGAGAGAGAGAGAGAGAGCTTGGTGACTTTGGAATTTGACGACATTTGGATCCAGACTCCACATTGGCATTGAGACATTGGACGAGGGATTATTTGGGACCTGTACCGAAGACTTGGTGTTGACGACATTCCCATCTTCCCCTCTTCTTCGTCTAACCCCCCTCTTCTTCGTCTGTGTATGGTTGGGGACTGGCACATTCTTCCTGTGTGAGCGCCAGGGAGCGCCAGGCCCCTTCACACCATGGAATGATGATGATGTATGTTTGGTCTGCATTGCAACACTGATTGTTCGGATCATTGGTATATTAGCCTTCCGCTGCGCTATCTTGTACTCTGTGAGAGAGGTCGGTTCTTGTTCTGGTCCGTACCGTTACGGTATGCGACACAGAGACAGAGACAGAGACAGAGACAGAGACAGAGACAGAGACAGAGACAGAGACAGAGACAGAGACAGAGACAGAGACAGAGACAGAGAGAGACAAAGTCAAAGACAAAGACAAAGACAAAGACAGAACGACAGAGGTCTGTGTGAGTGTGTGTGTCAGAGGCGTGTGTATGTGTGTGTGTGTGTGTGTGTGTGTGTGTGTGTGTGTGTGTGTGTGTGTGTGTGTGTGTGAGACACACACAAATGCACACGATTTGAGCCAGCTCAACAATAAATAATTTCACCTTTTAAGCAACATCAATCATAAAAGAAGTGTGTAGAACTGTGTTTAGCTGGGGTTTCTTCGGGGCAACAGCTCCTCTTTTACTATGCCTCACACGTACAAGGCTGCCCACGTTGATTGTGGTTGAGCGGCAGCTGCCCACATCCTCGTGTGCCTTCACACCCCACTTGGAGGTTATTTCAGGAGGCAGAGTAAAAGGGAAGGCATGCTCCTGTGCATTTCTCTTCAAATCTTCATACTACTGTTCATTTCACTTTAGATCTTCAGCTTATACTTGGTTTTTGTGTCTGTCCTTCATCTTCATACTTCCATTCATTTCACTTCCGATCTCCATATCGTCTGTTCTCTCAACGATGCTCATTCGTATGTATTTGTTAGTAGCACAAAAGGGGAGGGTGGAGGGGAGGTGGAGGGAAAGGGATAGAAGGCAGAGTTCTATAGGAGTCTGGGGTAGGGGGAGGTGGAGGGTAAAGGGCAGGAAAGAAACATGTGAGTATGACATGCAAAGGGTGGGGGAGAGGTGTATGACGAACTTCGCAGAATTCTAAGCACTCACGGCTGGAACAGACTACTCTAGAATGGCACAGGGTTGCAAAAATTATTTTTTGGTTGAGGCGCAGTTATTGCCTATGGTAAGTGGCCACCCCTACAGACCAGACATGACCGGTCTGGGTGTGGACTATGGAAGCACCGCATCCAATTTTTGCAGTCACAATTGCTGCATCAAATGGTGCGGCGCAGACAGATGCCACAGGCTACGTGGATCCTACATGCTAGGAACACAGAGGCACGTCGACCGCAATTATAGAGGCATTGTAGAGGAATTGTCGTTCCAGCCCCTGTCTACAAATTGGACATGACATGTCAGGGTGCCGTACATGAGTACAGTACTGACTGTCATCGTACGTATGGAAGCAAAAACTCGCGTCGACTATCCCTTCATAATCCTCACGGCACAAGGCATGCGAACCACATGCTAGTTGAATCCCCGGCAGGTCATCACAAAGCGGCATGGAGCATATTTCTTGGGTTTCCTCAGTTATTCATTCCTTCTCTATGGGCAGACGACCACACGGAGGATCAGTCCAAAGCAAGGGCGTTCAGCTGCTGCAGGATTTGGTCCGCAACAGCTCGCCCTGGTGGTGATAAACTATCAGCACATCGCTCCCCAGTTAGAAGCCTGTTTTCCTCCTCGGGCTGCTGTGTCTGTCATTCATCTGGCAAGGAAGAGGGAGATCCGTCTGCGGTTTTCGTAAGTGTATGAGCAACACCACATGTGGGACAAGCTAGGAGAGGATGTGGAGGATAATGGCACCGGGGATAGTCCACACAGTAAAGACACATACTTTCTATGACAGCTTCCTGGAAACATTGATGACACGTGGCATGTTGCTGACATGTCATTAGTACGGAAGGCTGGCATGCACAGTTATTTAGGCATTGCAGATCAACGCCACAACAGCATGCTGGGCAAGTAATGAGGGGATGGGGGGGGTGAGCACAAGACAAGGGATCACAGTTTTCGTGGGAGACGCTGGCAGCAACCATCCCTTCATAGTGTTCAGAGAAGAGGCTATCTCGTTTACATGCCAACCGAACTGTACCTGTCTGATAACACAATGGGAGGGCACAGCCACGATCCCCTGGAGAGTTCCCTTCACTGTTTGTAGTAGAATCAGTCGGAATGCTCTCCGGGGGGTTGCAGTGCTTGCATGTGCTCATTGACATACTGTTCCTGATGGACGAGCCAGATCGAGCGATTCTCCAGCACTTGGTGATACAACGAGCTAATATTTCCCGCTGTGTGCACCCTACCGCCATTGTCTCATAGGATCCATGAGTTATCGGCAAATGTAAGAGCACTGAAATGGCCTGGACGATGTAAGATATATGCCCAAATATTTGGATCCTGGCGCGTGGGTTTCTGGAGCAGGTTGGAATTGTAGTCCCCGACCCATAAATGTCATAGACAGGACTTCTATATTCACAGCAGGTGCAGTACTGTCGTCCTCCGGGCGGACAGCATGGTCCTCTACTTCTATCCAGTGGACAACGTCTGCGAAATCAGAAACCCTATAAGGGTTACAATTGTAAGCAAGGAGGCATACATTAATGGCATAGAACACACAGCGGCCTCACTGTGGAGCTATGACATCATCCGATTCCACAGTTTGCGCGGTAGGGGGAGATTCGTTCAATTCTGCAGCTTGCACAGGTGGTGGAGACTCATTGTGGTCTTGACTATTTCTCTCAGGTGCCTCGTGCTGTATCGAGTCCATTGGCTCTAGTATGCGCTCCAAAGATAGATCTTCAGTCGGGAGCTCCATCAGGTAATCAGAAGACGGGTCGTTGTCATTTGTGTGTGTGTGTGTGTGTGTGTGTGTGTGTGTGTGTGTGTGTGTGTGTGTGTGTGTGTGTGTGTGTGTGTGTGTGTGTGTGTGTGTGTGTGTGTGT